CCTCGCTGAGATCCTCCGTGATAATTGGGTCTCTGGCCAAGGTGACCATGCGTAAGGGCCGTTGGAGGATGTGCTCCAGGTCGGTGAGTAAGTCCGTCAGGAACGCAGTTCCCGACAGGGCTGAGGCAGGTAACGGTTCAACATTACTTTCACTGGCCAAAGGAGACTCCCCCGGGGGGGCACGCTCTACAGTGGCGGCCTCCATCTCGACGTCAGTAGCAGTTGCTTGTTGGGCGCTTGATGAGGACATGGTGGTAAAGAGGAAAGAAGGTGGGGCACGTAATCTAATGAGATAAGATAAATGAGGCATCCAGTCACATGACCTCGGATCTCTCTCAGCATTGTCACGTGACACCGAACTCCTCGGCATGGCGTCATATGTCGCAATCGCCATGACGCCATATTGTGTGCTCGAGAGGAGCTCCGTCTCTGTGGGTTATTATTAGGCAGCCAATCAGGATAATTGGGACATGTCGTACGATTGTAGCACTGACCAGTAGAATAGCGTGTGACTCGCTTAGGTAGTACTGTACAGTAGCATGGCAATCCTGTATATAGGGACCAACGAGACGAGGAGGAGACCTCAGTCTTATTCTCCTTCGTCCTCCACTACCATCACAGAGGGGTCTTACCAGACACTCTCAGTGTGCTATATATCTAGTATCATCCTCATTTGTGATAGTGCCTCTCGCCTCGCCAGTAAGTCTCACTTTGCGACTAGCGACTCGGCCTCGTTAGTGGGCACGTCGTACCGCCACAGCTCATCGCTGTAGGCTCTCAGCCAGGAGACCCTCAAGGGGACTCCTTATTTTGGTTGTCTATCTTTGTCATCGGCGTGCCGTGACAGTAACGCATCAATTAACTTGACAGACTGTGATCAAAACCCAGCATTCACTTCTGCTTTGGCAAAGATATCCGGATACCCTGGATCGTGAATGCTAATGGTTTATGATAGGTCTCAACAGTCGTCCATACTATGGGGCCCTCCTTGTATGACTCACGCAATATATACATTCACTGGAATTGGCATAAGCATCAGTAAGAAGGCTTCACCTGATGGAACGGTGCACCCAAGGCACAGACTGTAAGGGCAGAGTTTAGCGCTTGGTTGATGATTTACATAATATCTCAGATAGCCTACCGCATGATACAAGAGCGCATATAACCTGTACAAGAATGAACTGTAATAGAGAGAAGAATCGTAGAAGCGATTGCTCACCATGCTTACGACGAGAGCTAATTTCAGGCTGTGTCGTCTTTCGGCCAACACTAAAGTAATCAACAGTTAATAAAGAGCTCTTGGATTATGCAATAAAAATGTGCATGTCCAGATCGTGCGCATGTAGTAACTTGAATTAGAGTAAGTTCGGTGAATAAGCATTTCATATTGAACACAAAGATACCATTGTACAATGAGGACCATTACCGCCTATTAGTGTTCATGACTAAACGAGCAGCATGAGGGAAGTTTAACAATCACCGCTAGTGAGTATTCGATCTAAGGTAATTCGTCAATTAAGTGAGTACAATCATATTCCAAGAAATCCTGACCGACGTATCACTATCTTTTACATCAGCGATTTAGCGATAACTTTATCACGGCGACTCACCCGAAGAGAATATTATGTCCGATAAGATTAGCATGGCCAGCGATCAGATACTGCCAGACTATCTGTGTACTTGTGAGAGAGCACATGACGCTCGCAGCATAAGAAGTACCTTGATATCAACGATAGTTGTCGCCGTATCCATGGACCTATCATGCTTGCTTCGCCGCAATGAACCACTGATCTCCGCAACTGATGAAGACTCACCATAATATCGCCACCTGTTCAAGCGTCAGAGGCGATTAGAGCAATTCGCTGTTATGCAGACACATACCAGGCTCCGCAGCGATGACCTGTCTTTGCGGTAGTGCCACATATAATACATGACCTGTGCACATGTGCAACCATAGAAACTGAAAATAATGGATGTGAGTGCAGGAACATAGGTGTCGAAACGCATCGAGTCGCACAGCTGCGAGAATAAAAGATAAGGATGGCGCCTGAAGAATCGCCCAGGTGAAGGTTGAATCCGATCATTTTTCAGCTTTAGGTTCGACAAAGAAACGGTGAACTAGGGTGGCTGAAACACAGCTCTGGAAGATTGCTTATATGCGGCTCGTGCATTCAGTTTGATGGCCACCGGGAAGTTGGAACCACTCACCGCCGGTCATTCTCCGTTTATTTTTGCTGCATTCACTCCAGGGAAAGTATGCACGAAGATCAAACCATCTCGGATAAGTCCGACGGCGACCCTTCTGATTGATCAAATTTGTGGCGAATGCTACGAGACTGATGTGTCAAAGCTGTGAGCCCTACCAGCAGTCAGTATGCATCGGATGTTTGATGTATCATGCTGGCCGTGCAAACACGAACCGGGTTTCCGGGTTGATGTACCATCTTTGCGCGTCTTCAAGCTTCAAGCCTGAAGGCCTGATGCATCAAGACATGGCGCCGCGGCAGTTGAGCTCTTTTCCCCTTTGATACATCAACGCGCAGTTCCTCACGACGGATTCCGATGCTTCTGATTCGAACTGGCCATCAATGCCTTCTAATGCGCTCTCCTTTTTCTGTGTATGCCTTCAAGTGTTTCTGTCTGTGATCACGCGGGTGCCGCCGTTTGAGCTCTCCCTCCTTTGATACATGATCAATGTGCAGTTCCTCACGACGGCCTCCGATGCTTTTGGTTCGGGCCAGCGCTCACGCGGCCAGATTGACTTGTGATGGACGAAGATGCAGGCAGGTACTGTCACGCGGACATTCACATCAGTCTCGTCTTTCATCGCAATGTTAGAGAAGATTTGAAAGGTGTATGCAGGCAACAGGACATGGCTCTGCCTATAGGTCACAATAGCTCGGTTTAGGGATGTACGAGTCGGACACGACCGACTCCCAGATCAAGAGGGAGATCCAGAAGATGCAAACTCGTCGTGCTCAGAGTCCACAGTAACGACGGTGTCAAGCGGAGAGTCGCCGGTGGGTTGCGCTGTAGAGAGGAGTAAACCACTCGTAACGTCTGTCATGTGAGGCACGTAGTGATGGCGAGCGTTTAATCTGGAGTAGGCTGTGAACAAGCTTGATCATCGTGAGGACCTCGGCGTTGGCACGTACATTGCGAGTAGCGAGTTCACATAGACTGAGTACCCCAGCCTTCTCATCAGTCCAAATCCGGTGAGAAGCTTTGATTAAAGTGCGAACCTTTGCTTCCTGGGAGGTGGAAGATGGACCAGTAGACACTGTCCTTGGAAAAGGTGACGAACTGGACGGGCGGCATCACATCAGCCTAAACAGAAGGGTACTCGCCAGTAAAGAGTGTATCTACAGTAATAAGCGTCATAACCTGTATAAGGCTGTGATAGGATGGGGTCCCGGTCAGGCATGCGACATTAAGAAAAGGAAGGTACCTACGTTGTCAAGATTCCGCGGTTTATCGCGTGTACTTTGAGCCTGTGGATGAATTTGTCCATACTGCAAACGTAGTACGACTGTTTGCAAGCAGAAACACCACGATTCCGTTCCTTACTCACTAGCTTGAACTGCTACTTTGTGCACTACTTAACTTGAACATGAGTGTGGCTGAGATAAATACGTCCACAATGGAGGCCGTGGTAATCTGCACAACAGCTGCTTTCTGGGAGCATAGTTCTCAGTGATGATGATATAAGCTTAGGCTACACGCGCATGTACCTCTGCCCTCGCAAACACATTCGGAAATCCTGGGTCGTGAATTCTATAACATGGGAGAAATACATCAGCAAGCACGGTGATTTCTCTAGCTATCCATTTAACTCACGCAACGTATACACACACTGGTATTTCATTGTAAAGTTGAGCGTCGGGCGGCCTTTCATATAACGAGAGAACGTACCAAATCCGCAGACTACAATAGTGGATCAGCACCTCAGCCATTCATATCACACGTCGCTCAGACATACCGCAAGAGATAACAGCACATGTGACCTAGATCGGGGTGAGTGGTCAGCGCGGGATTTCTTTGCGAACGCATAACCTTACCATACTGCCAATGAGAGGGACGTTGTATCGTTTGCTAGATAAGACTTGATATGTATGAACATAGCTATTAAGATATATCTCATGGCGTAGTGATGAGAATCTAGGACGTACGCGTCCATATTGTACGCATGTAGAAGCTATGTGCAAACGTTGGATACGTTACGATATGCGAGGATAAATGCGACAGACCATTGTACAATCAGGACCATTATCGCCTTGATTGATCATAACATCTGTTTGAACATTGCCCAATGCCAATAGATACCATCGACGTACCGAAAGTGCATATTCAATCTAATGACATGATCAAAGCGATAACAAGAGTACGTGATTAGAATACTAACAGACGTGTCACTGCAGCGCGCATCAGCGTAACATTCACCAACATTTCATAGTCGCTTACCTGAAGAGAACATTATCCCCGGTCAAATCTGCATGACCGGATATCAGATACCTCCAGATGATCTGCCGATCGCTCAGCAAGCGTGCCACGTATATCTCGCTCAATTAGAGGGTACCTTTACATCCACAATTGTAGCGGCGGTATCCAGGAACCTATACACATAGTGTTAGAGGTTTTGCAATGTAGTTGCAGAAATGCCATAAGGGACGCACCATAGAACTGCAACCTGTAATTGAACAGCAGTCAGCAACATCCAAAACGACTGATGAATCGTGATATATCTGCACATACCAAAAGCTGCAGTGACAGCCTGTCGCCGTGATAGTACCATGAATAATACAGGACCTGGGCGCAGGTAGAAGCATATAGGCTATTGACCGATGTGTTAGAACTGCAAAGTGAAGATGCGAGCAAGACAGACATCTGCGCAAATAGAATTCCAACATAGGTAACACCTAACGAACTGCCTATATCAAAACCAGTCATTTTGGGGCAGATAAACGGTGAGCGGGAACAGGTAGGGCAGCTTTCAGCATTTATGAGCACCAGAAGATTCGTATCACGGGCAACGGCCACCGCCAAAGTGCCTCTCCCGTCTCTTACACGACCTTCAGAGAGATCCACCCGGTTCGGAAAGCAAAATAGAAGTGACACAGCCCAATGCAGACGCATGTCAAGCCATCTGTCAAAGCTTGACAGATATCTGGCAGAAGCGAGGTCAACCTTCCCGAGCTTCCCACAAATCATTGGTGTCATGTAAGAGGGTGCACCAGTTAAAGCATCGAAACGCATCAATGATGGCGTCGTTCTGGACACCATCTGCATGCACTGCAGCGTTGAGCTCGGGAGGGCCCGAACAAGCGGCCTTATCCGCCGCATCGCCTTTCGGTCGAAGTGCGTGCCGAGAAGCTCTCTCCATACCTGTCAGTCAAGGGTAGCACGACATGGGCTGTGTGCAATCGCGCCAAACCACTACGAGTCCCCTTCGTTGCAAATTCTTCATCAATCTGAAGGCGATCAGAGCAACGATAGAAGTTCAAGATCAGTCCGATTCTTGACATGCCATGTTAAAGTTCTCGGAAAAAAACAGAGTTGATAAGAGGCAGTCAACGGGAGAGAAGAGACGCTCTTACCTCTACCGCGAGGGCGTTACGGTTCGGACACACGTCCCAGCTTATGTGTAGACATCGCCGCAGCAGGAGCGCTCGTCTGATTGAGTGCCAGCAGTTGACGGCCCAGTATCATGTCAGTTTTATGCACAGTTGCCCCAACCAGCGCATGCAAAATAGCCAGACAGATTTGTTGGGCCATGACTGCATGTCTTAGTGGACGAGGGAATATACGCGTAATTCATGTTGGTCGCCAGGCCTTCTCGTCTTCGCTAGCTAAGGCACCGGTGAGAGTTTGAGGCACCGAGAGACCCCAGATAGCCTACTGTATCTCAAAATCTATAGTTTGTGAATAGACTCGCCCGTCTCGAAGAAAAGGCCGGGCAGCAAGCTCGACAGATGCCATCATGTCTTGAAGCAGGGGGTTTTCCGCCCGACACGTGGCTACTGAATTTGACTCTGTTACATAATTAGTCAAAGCTTAGACGCAAGCCACTCGAGCGTGATCATTTCGTTGGAATGGCAAAGTAAACATGTGTTCAGTTCGACAGAGTCCTTTCCGTCCGTTGCAAATTGGCAATGATGTATCGCTGTAATCGTTGTTCATCAACCTGCAGAGAACATCGAAGAGCCTGCATTGCGATGCAAGCCTTGTGGGGCATTCATCGAGGAGCGAGGTCATTATTTGGCGTGGCCGAGTACTTGTGCAAGTAAAACCAGCTCGATAGCCGGTCGCGTGCGTCTAATTATGTGACTGCTGTGGCGCAAACATCCTGAAAAGGAAGGTATCGTGGTTCCGGAGCTATGTACCGCCGCCCTGCGACGAGTCGGCTGGCCTTACAATTGGATCAGTGCCGCAACTGCGAAGGATCATCGATCAACAGCCGCCTGCCCCTTTCATGCAGTGCAGACAGAAGTCTCCACAGTTCAAGACACCACATCCCGGCACACCAGCGCAAACTTATGCAAAATTCAAACGGTCGACCGTCGTATATACATTTTTTTTTGCTTCATTCTTCATGGGTCCATACGTGAGAAGGGATTGTACACATTCCACCCACACCGTAAAACCTTCCTCGATGAACTCATAGACGCGTTACATATCGTGTTTTCAACAGACAGGTGACTACGTTGAGCTTTAGTGAAACGCAATGATTTGAGTAGGTGAAAGAAAGACTGCTCACCGAGATTTACTCAATATCCTCGAATTGGGCTCCGTCCAGTGTATGACAGCCTCCTGCGTCCGTATTCGTTCCTGGATTCTCTTCCACGCGAACAATGCCCACGTAGTCCTTGAGCTGATCCTGGAACTCTCGCGATACGCCTGTGCACCACGAGAGAATGAGCTCTTGCACAGGCGCCACGAGATGGCGCTGCTCTAGACATTCCAATAGAAGGTCTCGATATCCATCTAAGGAGAAATCGACACCCCTCATGTCAAGCGCACGAAGTTCAGGAAGAAAGCAGCCGGAAGAGTTCTTCGCATCCTTCGCAGGATGGACAGAAGAGAGCACGTGTAGGATGGATGAGAACTCCAAGTACTGTGCGAATCTGCACACTCGTAGGATTTGAAGCTTGTTGAACTGAGCCAGAATATTAGACCAGAGATTCTCGTCGATGCTAGGGTATAGATTAGGGCTAGTTCCGATAATCTGCCAGCGCCGCACTTCGAGGACTAGTTCATGTGCATTGGTGAACTTGCGTATGGTGCACAGAGACTCCATCCACCGTACATATGCATAGTCATAGCGACGCCGTTTCTCGAGGCCGATGTCCACATCTACCTTCGCCGAGTCGTAATCGGGATTTTGAATGGCCGCTCCAACGACCACTTCCGCATGACTCAAGATCTCCAATCGAAAAGTTTCTGGGCTATCGATGATGAACACATGAAGACAATGGGAATCGGGCATTGAAGCGGTTGCGGAGGCCAAGCTTAGCGCGAAGGCATCGGCTTCGTCATGACGACTCGAAAACGAAGCCCGCAGCGTGAGTTCGCGGAGAGCAGGAAGGTGGGAATGGAGAAAGATTCGCAAGAGCTTCGACAGAGAGTCAATGATACGAAGGGAGCGCAAGTTATGTAGCGTGAGTATTTCGGGACCCAGTTGTGCTTGTTCGCTCCACAGAGGGTGCACCTTGACGAGGGCGAATGTCTCCAGATGAGGTAATCCTCTCAGAACATGCACAACCTGACTCATGCTCGGTGGCACGCGCGGTCCCAGCATGTACTCGAAAGTCAGGTGTTGTAGGGACAATAGGGGGGCGATGTTTTGCCAAGGCAGAGAAAGATTCTGCACTCGAAGGGACCTCAGGTGAGCGGCCTGTATAAATAGTCTTGCAATTGAGCCGTCGGTATCAGCGTATTTGATTTGTTGAGAGTTTTCCAGACCCAGAGACTTCATGTGACAACCCGCTCCCGCATCGACAAGCGCGTTAATGGCTTTTTCGATGTCGTCCCGACCAGCTCGAAGTTGTAATGAAGCGATCTGTGGAGATTTTTCAAGCACCAGATGCCATGACTCGACAGTGGTCGGCCGAACGTCTGCGACCACCGACAGCGTGTGCTGTTGCGCACAGTCAAGAATAAAGTTTGTAAATTCCTTGTTGGTCGGCAATTTGTTGATGACGCTCCAAAGGTAAGCATGAGACTGCACAACTTCGCGCCATCTGCGACACACTTGCATGACGTTGAGCAGGTGGTATGGTCGGGGGAGATCGACATCGTTCTTGACAGCGTCATCGTGAATCTCTTCGAAGGCCTTGCCGAGAAGCTCGTCGGGTAGATCGTCGATTGTCTTCTGCACACGCTCATGACGGCAGTTGCTCGGGTCCGATGGAGAGGGCGCGACTTCGATGGCGGGACCCTCATCATGATGAGCGATAGTCGGAGACGGCCCGCTACTAGACGGGGCCTGTAAAGTGGAGTGCTTGCGAGAAAGAGGAGAGGTCATGACGGTTGGGAAAGGGACACGAGAAGAGTAAGGTGGCAGATATAGGGTGGTTCGTGCAGGGCCATGGAACGTGTTCGCTAGGATCACGTGTAGCCACAAGACACCCGCTTGTTGTTGGACACAGGCCACAGTGGCTTATAGCCCCGATTGGCCTCAACTGTATTGACATTCTTCCACACGCGGTGGCACAGAAGTTGACTTCTGTGGCGGACTGCCTTTGAAAAACGCTTGGGCCAGTACGCGTGGGCCTACCAAAGCGAAGGTCCTGCATCATCAAAAGAATCAACACCCTTGGCCATGCGTCTCGAATTCGTTGAATCCCCATCAATATAGGAGAAACTGTGCTAACCTTGGAGGCCCTGCGCGATGTGAGCGACGGGCGGCTCTAGGCAACGTTTTTCTTCAAAGTGGCCAAGCGCCTTTCACCTACCTACCTTCAACGAGTGGCATGCGAGGAAATGATTGTTGCCATGCAAGAGTTTGAGGAATAGGGTCTGAATTTCGGTGTTCAGCGACGATAGTCCATGGAGTGAGTACAACGTTACCCACCATGACCGCTGAACGCAGGCGCAAGGGACTCTATTCTGATATCAAATCGTTGGCAGTGACATCTGGATCATAGTGCCCTTTGTTTCAGCCAAGGAATCGAGTTTTCATCGGGCAGACGTCTGAGCGCGGCCATACCATGGTAACGTTCAATTGTCTTGCTCTATTCCCGCGTACCTCTGACGACGTCAGCAGGTCTGTTAAGTTATAACATTCCTAGATTTTCGAACGCGCATCTGGATATGTGTTGATCATCTCCGCATCTCTCGAATTGACAGCTGACTGACCTGCGAAACAATCAGGCAGAGCACTTGCCCCTGGTAGCGAAACAACTTGACATTGGCAAGCCTACTGCAACACGCCGAGGTCATATCAATACCAGCGGAGTGTCTTTCCCAGAACTTTCTAGATGAGGAGCACCGTCGACACAATGAAATTCATACCGCATCGCATGGTCGTCAATACACGGTCCACGAACTATGAGGAGCTGATGAGTGTTTAATAATGTTCGAAGCGTCAACTTACGTTGGTAACGCGAGCGGACACTTGCATGACTGAACTACGAATGAGGCAACAGGCAAGGGCAGTTAACGTGGTATCTGCTCCTCAAGGTCGGCGCATTCGCATTGACGCATATGAAGGTCAATTCTTCGCAAGACTATAAGCGCAGCCAATGTTACTCTATCGTTGTGAAAGGGACATATGCGCCCGCTCATCCCTCTGACTGGTTCAGGCCTAAACAATGGAACGACGGTACTGCCTGCGTCCATATCTACAGTAATCATCAAGCTGCATAGTGCAACTGTGAGTATCTTACAAGACGATAAGAGTAAGTTAAAACTCACATCGTTATTAGGCTCGCACGGGGATAACTTCATATCAATGATGCGCCCGCTTTCTTCGAGAATCGACACTGCGCCCAGAACCTGCATGGTGTGTCAACGCAGAAATGACATACTTCTTCGCACGTTTCGTGAGCTCGACTGTGCAGGAATCGAGGAAAAGGGACGTGAAGTGCAATTGCAAAGTTCGCAACACCTACCAGCATACTGCTCGCCCAGCTGTATGACCTGGCGAATTTCTTCTTGTTTGAAGATCTCTGATCCGTCCTCGGACTCGAGGAAGGCAGCCATATTTCTTTTTATCATGATATACTGATCGTTGCGCCTCGCTGTGTATTTCCGACTCATTTATGACGTCCTAGCGAAGACAAAGCTCGTTTGAGGAAATCATTGAGCGTTGCCGACTTACACGTCGATTGTCCTGAGCTCTGATCATGAGCACGGTTGCAAGTAGTTCAGGGGAGATCTCGGCAATCAGCGATGCCAATACATGGCTGCTGGCATCGCCAACGACCAACCAACTATCCAGTGCCTCTTCACCTACTCGTCTCGCGTTCTGCATCCTGCCCTCGTCGACGTCTGCATAAAAGTTCCACCACGTTCCACCCCGGCTTATAACACCCGCACGCTTGACGCCGAGGAGGTGTCTTCAGGCGCACAGTTGACGCCAAATACTAATAGGACTCCTGTCTCGTTACCTCCCTGGCATCTTCTTCGATACTACTACCATGTCTCAGATCGCCGACGTTCCTGCTGCATTCTCGCCGTTGGTGAAATTGAACTTGCCCCCTCCTGAAGAATACCGCAAGCGCAAGGTCGCGCTCATCTCCGGTGAATTGTTCGCATGTCCGGAGGGCACGTTGATGATGCTGACGATTGCTGCGTACAGGTATTACTGGGCAAGATGGATCATACTTGTGAGTGTCAGCACTTTGTGATTGTCTGGAAAGCCGTGCCTCGGGACTCGCGTGACATGCGTGAACGTTGCAGCTTATAAGCGCTACAGGACCGAGCTACTCCTGTCGAAGGGCTATGAGGTCCACGGCATCATCCGTCGCTCTTCAAGCTTCAACACGAGCCGTCTGCACCATCTTTACTCAGACCAACACGAACGTACGTGCCCGCCCCTGTTAACTCCACATGCCGCTCAACTTCCCGCAGGGCCCAACAAGTTCAAGTTGCACTACGGCGACCTAAGCGACAGCACGAATCTCGTGTACATCATCGCACAGGTACAGCCGACCGAGGTGTACAACCTCGGCGCGCAGTCGCACGTCAAGGTCTCGTTCGAGATGGCCGAGTACACGGGCAATGTCGACGGACTGGGCACGCTTCGCCTGCTCGACGCGATCCGGACGTGCGGGCTGGACAAGCATGTGCGCTTCTACCAGGCGTCGACGTCCGAGCTCTATGGCAAGGTTGTCGAGACACCCCAGAGCGAGACGACCCCCTTCTATCCACGCAGCCCGTACGGCGTCGCGAAGCTGTACGCGTTCTGGATCACCGTCAATTACCGCGAAGCATACGGAATGTATGCTTGCAACGGCATCCTCTTCAATCACGAGAGTCCGCGTCGGGGGCGGACGTTTGTCACGCGCAAGATCTCGCGCGCGGCTGCAGACATCTCGTTGGGCAAGCAGTCCTGCCTCTACCTCGGTAATATAGACGCGCAGCGTGACTGGGGACACGGTGAGGATTCTTCCTGGAACAATATATGCGCTTATATTCACATTTCCCACAGCTGCTGACTACGTAGAGGGGATGTGGCGAATGCTGCAGCAGGACGGCCCGGAGGACTTCGTCCTCGCCACAGGTGAGACGCACCCTGTCCGCGAGTTCGTCGAGAAGGCGTTCGGCCTACTTGGCATGGAGATCAAGTAAGTAGTCACGATTCAATCACCGTCGTCCTTGGCTGACGCCTGCACGATAGATGGCGAGGCTCCGGGACAAACGAGGAAGGCATCGACGCTAAGACAGGCAAGGTGGTCGTCAAGGTCGACCCGGGGTATTTCCGTCCCGCTGAAGTCGAGTGCGTCTGTTTCTCTGTCTCCGTGATGCAATTATCAAATTGACATGACTCCTTTCTCCCCCTAGCCTTCTGCTCGGAAACCCTGCAAAAGCCGAGCGCCTGCTCGGCTGGAAGCGCAAGGTCGACTTCGACTCGCTCGTGAAAGAGATGGTAGAGGCCGATCTGAAAGCGGCGAAGTCACTCGTTGAGGATCAGAACTGAGCGAACGGCTGAGCACGGTTCTTGCTTGGATACGGACTTAAAGAGCAAGCGTCTAGATACCAAAGAAATGGTGTCGTATGTAGTAGATATGCATACTAGTATCTATGTAATATCTAGTTGAACCCTGCATCCGTCCGCGACACGTAAGAGCCGCTTGGTAGTATTTTCGACCTCACGCGTTAAAGAGACATTATTAGGCTGTCCCAACGGTCGAGTATCGACACAAACTTCTCGACCTAGTGGCTTCATCTAGGGCCTAGGCATCTTGGGAGCGGAAGCTATGCGGCAACAGTACCGTCCATTGATTCATACAAGCATTACAAACAACATGCGAAGTATACAAAGGACCGTAATTGAATCAAGAATGATTGGGAAACAAAGACGGCTGCATTTTCGTACCAGTTGATTCTGCGAGCTGTTTTTCTGGCCCGATTGGGGAACCTATCCTCGAGCTAAAGGCCGGCGAATACTGCAGCGGGTCGCCCATGCGGACTGGCACGTTGTCACAATGCACCCATTCGCATGAGCGACCGCGGAGCGTGGTCGGTAGCATTCTGACACTGAACAGAAAAACATGAGTAAGAAGATTATCACTCGAGGTGAATGTCCACAAGTTATACAGACTGTCAGCCTTGCCGTCCAACTGGTTGAATCCTCCCTTTACTTGCACTCTGAATTGTGTTCGACTTGTTTTCGCGGTTGTTGATCCTGCCCGTTCATCTGTTGTATTGATACCAGGGTATCTGAATCATTGCAGATAGAGCCAGTTGTCCTGCTGCTGTGATCATGCTTTGTTGCGGAAGAGGATAGTCCGGCTGAGGAGTAAACCACACTTCCGCAGCCAGACTCACGATGCAACCCACACTCTGGTTTGATGATGGTGAGCAGTGAGATGAGGATGGTAAGCAGTGAGAGAGCAGTGTACAGTAAAGAGCAGCACGCGGTCCGAACCGTACCGGGCATCATCTACTAACGCTCGAAACAGAACCTGCGCCTCATTCTCCTCGGACCTCGGTGACTGTACCTTCTCTTCCCATTTGCGACGTCCAACCTTCCTTGCCTGCAACATGTCTGTCATTCTAGTCACTGGAGGTACTGGTCTCGTGGGCAAGGCTATTCAGCATGTTATCGAGACAGAGCCGGAGGGGTCGCGCTTTGGGAAGAAGCCCGGCGAACGGTGGATATTCGTCGGCTCCTCTGAAGCTGATCTGAGGTGAGGTGGCTAAGTCAATGTGCCACGCATGTCTTGCTGAGGGCCCGAGGACGAGCTAGGGATCAGGAACAGACGAAGAAGTTGTTTGAGAAGTACAAGCCGACCCATGTTATTCACCTCGCCGCGTTCGGTGAGATCGCATACTATTGAGACAGCACAGGATCGCCAGCTCATATCGCGCAGTTGGCGGCCTTTTCAAGAACATGAAGTACAAGGTACTGCCTTATTAAACACCGTGGATGGCGCAAGGTCTCATTGGCATGCGCTGCCCCTAGCTCACGTTCCTGCGGGACAACATCCTCATCAACGATAACGTCCTCCACAATGCATACCTGAACAATACAAAGAAGGTCATCTCATGTCTCTCAACATGTGTCTTCCCGGACAAGGTCACGTATCCGCTGGACGAGACCAAGATCCACCTGGGCCTGCCGCACGAGAGTAACTTCGGGTATGCACATTCGAAGAGAATGGTGGATGTCCAGAACCAGTGCGTTTCTCAGCTAATGCGGCCTTTCATGTGTGCTTATAATGTGCAATCAAGTGCATACAAGGACCAGTATGGTTGCAACTTCACTTCGGCTATCCCGACCAATGTGTTCGGCCCCAACGACAACTTGTGCGATGTGTAATCTTTGCTACCCCCATGTCCTCGCTAATCATAACGTTCATGCAGCGAGTTGGAGGGCTCACATGTCATCCCAGGCCTGATCCACAAGTGCTATCTCGCGAAGAGTACGTCTGTATCCGAAACAGGGGATTCGTAGTATCTGATTTTGTCGCAGAGAATGGCACTCCATTCGTCGTATCCGGTACTGGGAAACCGCTACGGCAGTTCATCTACTCCTACGATCTTGCCAAGCTCTTCATCTGGCAGCTTCGCGAGTACGACGACGTCGAGCCTGTCATCCTCTCAGGCGAGTCTAACATCCACATCGTGAGCAAGTCTGCCATAATTGACCGAATGCTGTGCAGTTGGTGAGGATGAGGAGGTGAGCATCAAGGAAGTTGCGGATGCAATTGTCAAGGCGATGGACTACAAGGGCGAGTACACGTTCGACACAACCCGCGCAGACGGGCAGTTCCGCAAGCCGGCATCGAACAAGAAGCTGCTGTCGCTCATTGGTGACTTCCAGTTCACGCCGTTCGATAAAGGTACGTGGTACCCGGTCCCTTTTGACGCGTCGTGCCTTATGCTCATGCATGCTCTCCGCAGCCCTGAATGACACGGTGAAATGGTTCAATGAGAACTACGACAGCGCCAGGACAGGCGCGAAGCCGGTAGCTTGAGAGGTTTACGGTGAACATTCGGACTGTCTATCTCACGCGGTGTGACGATGCTTGTGTATTGTGAACGGCCACTTGTTTGCATGGACAATATCGATTAGGCTCGGATCATCCAGTGGATGCGTTGTGCCTTTCACTCAATAACCTCTCAGTATAGCAAGCTGCCGTCAAGTGTGCAAATAATCGATAAAAGGATTAACGGAGTGCCTACAAAGGTAGCTGTAATAGAAAGGACTTTGTTCAGGTATGGCGTCTATCTTCGAGATCGGCGTTCTTGGGCGGTACGGTGTCGAAGGGAAGGGAAAAGGCTTCGTAAAACCACGACTTAACCAGTTGACGGTTGTGCCCGCCCTCGATTGGTCCATCAGAGTTACCAGGCCAATCGATGTCCTGATTACGCAGCACAGGATAGAGCACCTCCCCAGCTTTCCCCGCCCAATCGAAGTCGACCACCCTGATCTTCGCAGTACTCTTACGGCCCTTCGATCTGACTAGCTTGCGCTCATCATCGACTTGCAGCATGATGTTAACAGGCCTTAGATCACCGTGCACGACTTGATTGTCCTCCAATATCCCCACTAGATGTTGTAACGATCTCCGAATGGCCCTCTTGTCTTTGTTGGAGGCATTGCCGCGCGAAAAGTTGTACAAGGTGGTCCAAGTCAGTGATTGAAGATACTCCATAATATACGCACACGGAGCTCCTTCATAGCGTGCATAACCGTAGAGGGAAGGCGCAAAGTGGTGGCGTGCCAGCAGACGGTGCACGTCCTCACCATAGGGTTCATTGACCAACTTCACGAGTACCGGTAATGCAGAATGCTTCGATGAAGACAGTGAGGCAGCAAATAGAAGTCGATTGTCCTTCTGACCAGAAATGTTTTCCGTGAAGGTGAGACTGCCTTGCGTGCCTCCGCCTTCATATAATGTGCATGATGTATAAATAAGAGGAGTGGACGCAGGAATGAGGTAGGCGAGTGTGGCTTTCCCTCTTTCAACAATGACTTTGTCTCATTCAGCAGGCTATAAGGCAGTATCAGAAATGGCCGCAAATGGAAGGCATCGTGGGTGTTACACACTTCTTTGATGCAGATATGCCTTGGGATAGCGCATACAACAAAGTTGCAACCTTCTGCTGCCGTACGTTTGTGTCGTCATTCAGCATGAAAATTCCATCACTCAGTGGTTCCACGATGGTTCTTCGTCCATCATGGAAACCGCCCGCGATGAACAACAGAGTTCCTGTCCGTTAATCATTAGATGTCCACGCGTGAATGCATACTGACGTTCATGACACATACCAAGCACACACACCAGAAACGTTGGCGCACCCTGTTCCAGAAATGCCTTCTCGGACGGTTCTTTCTTCTCGCGCAACTTCTTGACTGCAAGGTCATAATCACGCGTTATCTGCATATAGACATCGCCACCTCCTTCACCCATCTCCCACTTGTCCTCACGCAGGCAAATTACTATGAGATCCTCCCACAACAATGCACGATTCACCTTGCCATGATGGGAATCTACCTTCACTTTCACCAAATGTTCGAATTTCCACCTATCCCCATCCGAAAACAGCGGGAAGAAACATGTGTCGAATGTCTCTGAGCGTTGGGTTTCGTTATCAAATGCCTTTCCCATCTCTGCGCACAAAGTCGCAGCGACGCGAGTAGCAGAGTCTGCAGTGGCTGATCCCTTGGGAAGCGGCTTGTGAAGGTTTAGCGTAAACTGGCGGAAAACATTGTGCAGCATGCGCAATGGAAGGCCCTTGGCTGCAGGAGGACGAAGGCATAGAATACGGACATCTGTGTATTGCGTCTTGCGCCAGCCTTCTGGGCCTGCCTTGCCAAACATAGAGGGTGAAGGGAGTTTGTCCTCCAGGACACGTTTCTGCAGCACGCTGAAGCGGATATATTTATGATTATACGTCTCCAGCCTTAGCCCTATGCTACGTCAAGGCCGTGTCGTAAAAGAGATGAGGACACACTCACTGTGCTCTTTTGGTGCATTTTCTGGTATCTCCAGACGATGATCGAGCAAGGACCGGTCATAATCGTCCCAGTCTGCGTCCCATGCGATAGTCAGCGCTATTGCAAGATGCCAATCCTCCATGACGCGGCGATTGGTGTCTGCTGGTAGACCCATTTCTTTGAGCCGCGAAAGTGTTTCTAATGTAAAATTGCTCAGCCCGTATACAGCAATCCATATGCAAGGGCAACAAATACCTCTCAAAGGGCTTAACAACTTTTCCATGCCTTGCGCCGCATCCACAGCTTTCTGCATGATGTCCATTTCATGGGTCTTCCTTATCTTATTCGGTGAAGCCGGTATCTCATCGCTGGGACGTTTAGACGTTCTTGTAGAAGAGGAAATACTGTGTTCAGGTATCGAGTCAAGAGAAGAGGAAGTACTGTATCCGGGTTTCGAGCTGCGCGACGTCGATGCCATTACTGAAGGTGTTGTGTTACGATCATTGTCGTAACCTCCATTTCAGAGGCTCCTAGGCAAGGAGACCCAGACTGCTCCACTATATACCATTACCATATACGGACTTACCACGTGGCTACCATAGGGTACCCACGCCACCAAGGGACATTCGAACATCCCTCGAACATGTACAAGTCACGTGACCCTATGTCACGATGACATCATAGATCTAGACCAGGTAGGTGCACTGAGGCCCCTACGGACTCGTCTGGACTTAGCTACGTCATAGCACGCCATAGCACGCCACTATGACCTAATCTTGTGTATTAGGGTATCGCTGGGCTTACCCCCGGTACCAGGGGTCCCACCCCTCTAATATATATACTGGCTCGAGCTGGGGCCTAACCCCCAGTTTCGAGTTAGACCTTCACCCCTTCTACTTGAGCCAGAGGACCTTGGTGGGTCAGGCGAGAGTTAGAGTGCGCGGGTTCTTTAGGCCCTTAACATAACTCGAAACTGCTCCTTTAGGGCTGTGGGTATCGGTAGCCGCCTCAGTCCGGACTTCTCATTGGCGACCACTATACCACCTTCCACTCGCTGCGGTCGCCCAGGTCGTATGCACACTACTCGTCGGACACAAGGCAGTCAGCCCCGGCAAGGCATTCGTTAGCCGCTTCAAGGCACCCTCTTCGTTCCTCGACAAAGCCAAGGCATGGCGACCTCGAGCACTCGGCGACATCCAGGCAGGATCCGCCAACGACCAAGATGCTTCGAACAACCCGCAGGCAGCGGACTCCGACATCGACGACTCAACCACCCAGGCAGGGCAGAGCACGGTCATCGCGACCACTCACCACCCCTCGATGCAGGCAGCGTCGAGGGACCCCAGAGAGTAGGATCTCCCCCACAGTAGGCAGGCAGCCATGCGAAACCAAAGCCACATGGGTCAACTGCCCAGGCTGGAGTGCCGAAGGTTCCACCAGGGGCACCGTCCTCCTTGCATCAGGGCAAAAACAACCGAAGAGATTGCCAGAGCCCTTAGGCGGTGAGGCATCCTAGGGGCGCCGCCCCAATGAAATAAACGAGCGCATGACAAGTCGGAATAAAGGCCTTAAACAAGCCTCCGCAAAAGTCGGCAGAAGGCTTCAGCCGTGACCTGTCACAAACCTTGCCGTGATCTCTGGCGTAAGAGGACTCCACGGAACTGGGCAGTTAAAACCTATCGGGGCACAGAGGGCTGGAGAGCCTGACGACAGTGCAACGAGCTCGGGCGGAGGGGCGCAGTACTCCTTAAAAGGGTACCGCTACGAGGCAACACCACAGCTAAAGTGCACCGGTGACCTTGACGGTGGAGCTGCCAAGCCCATAAAAAATATCCTTGGCCATAGCTGCCATGTGAAACGGACAGTTTACTGTCTAATGGCGAAAGCTGACCCATGGGACGACCTTTTAAAGTCTCATCACGGTGACTCAGTGAGATAGCCATCACAACGTATGAGCTCCACAAAAAAGGGCTTCCGTTAAATGCTGTAGGACAGCAATCATCTGGACTGCATCAGCATGACCTGCGTAACCTCGGGTGTCGAGGGACTAAACACACCTGCTCAGTGCCAAAGCGGCACCAGGAACAGCCTTCATCCCCGCTGTAAACCTGACTTGTTAGGGGATTAGTTATTCGTAGCCACGTAGTACATAGGCATATTGTGGCGGAACGAACTGTCGGAACACTCGGTTGGAATGACCGGTGAACCAGGGTATCAGAAGACCCTCGGGAGTTGTTGGACACTGGCAGCGTAATAATCAAAGGCTGTTAAGACCCTCCCGCGACTGCGGACTGCTCAGTATTGCCTCCGTAGTTATAAGTAGCTAGCACTAGCAAGTTGGCCGATGAAGACTTC